GCAGCAGGGTTAATAATCCAGAAACACATGTATAAAATAGGGAACAATTGAATGCACAGTTAACACTAGAGTACTTAAATACCTCAACACTTTAACTTCAGTGAGGTTTTGAATGCAGGATGTTTACTGGGTTATTTCCACACTGTGGTATTCATGTTTTCAATAACTCTGTTGAGCTTGTTTTTAGCTCTATTTCTATCTCACTGAACAGAGTCCCTGGATGTGAACTGGTTCAGCTGATAAGGCTGGTTATAAAACAAAGGGAGGAGCTGCAGACAGGTAAAGGTGTTAAAGTCCAATTAAGAAGTCGGACTGCCAGACGTCATTTTACAGCTCGCCGGAGCAGAAGGAGAACAACGGGGTGAGTGTAAACGCAAAGTTCTGCTTTCTAAAAGATTCATTATGTACTCTGTTAGACTGATAACATAACTTCTTTGTTAAAAATCAGCGTCCTAGATTCCAATGAGACTTCTGCAAACTCTTTTTATTTCCTGTTTGCTGATTCATCAAAGTTACATAACGTGTGACAGCGCAGTCAAAATGGAGGCCTGTCTGAAGTCTGACTGATTTGATGTTTTAACCAAGTTTATTACTATGATGGTTTGGATTGAAAAAAGAGTGATATTAATGTGTGTGTGTGTGTGTGTGTGTGTGTGTGTGTGTGATCTCTCAGACTGTAGAAGATGAGTGGTGTAAAAGAAGAGGAAGAGGACAAATCTTCAGTCTCCAGCTTTCTGTCTCTGAAGAGTGACCGGTCTATGGGTCGTCCTCCAGTCTTCAGTAATGAACCTGGACCCTCAGACACAAAGTAAGAGTCTCTACTGTAACCTGACCTGAAGAGGATCCAGTTTTGATGTAATCTAATATATTAAACTGTTCTTTAATGATATCATGTGAGCAGTTTGTAAAGGGAAAACGCAGCAGAGTAAGCTAACATTATCTAAGGATATTTCATTATGCAATTATATTATCATTGTATCTGTGTATAAAATGGTTTTAAATAGCAACAATGTTGATAAATACTGATTTAAAAACTATATATATTGTTCAAAACATTATTGAACTACTTGGGAATATCTGTGATATGTCTTTTTAAGATGTTTATTAATAATAGTGATAACCTGGTGAGCTGGTTTTGTTTAGCATTATCAGATAAAACGGTGTTATATCACTCTACTGGATTCTATGGGTACTACCTTATTTCATTTCAAACCTTTATTTAACCAGATTGGTCCCATTGAGATCATAGATCTCTTTTTCAAGGGAGACCTTATTATGCAAGCATTCACCTACTGAGATTTCTATAGACGTAGCCGGCCCCGGGGCGGGCCTACCTGAATGCGTGCGCATCTCACTTCCATATATAAGGCGGCCCCACCTCCTAACCATTATCCTTTAGTCTTCAGCGAGCGGAGGTGAAATATTCTAGCACTGAGTCTGAGACGTTGTAGAAAGAGAAAGGAAAGCGAAAGAGAATTATCAAGAATGGAGCCACTCCTGGAACATCGAAGCTGCCCGTCGTGCCCTGGCCTGATTGCGGGAGCAGATCCGCACCGCCAATGTTTCCAGTGCCTGGGGTCGGACCACGCTGAGCAGGGAACGGGCCAGACACCTTCCTGCGTTGCCTGTCGTTCGATCCCGATACTGAGCCGCCAGCACCGTGTGGAGCACTTCTGGAGAGAAGGGAGAGATCCGGACCTCGAGGTGATGGAAATGGACGATCTGCCCAGCACTTAGGTCTGCGCGACTGGACTTCCCAGCGGTGATGACCCAGGCAGCGGTTTATGTAGGTCTACCGCTCCCCCCACCACTGCCACCGAGGCCCATAAGCCGCCTCGGACAGGGGTTCTACGGCCTGGTGCTTCCGGCGCAGCCGGTCTTCGTCTCGCCCCCGTTGCCAGACATCTGGCAGTGTGTGGAGGCGACATGGCGGCGTCCATTGAAGGAAGGGCCGATCAGACAAGGTGTGTCCTGGCGTGCCCCCCCTCGATGAGAGCCTGGCGGCCCATCTGTTGCCGCGGTCAGCTGGTTGGGCGGAGGGGAAGAAACCTCTGCCCCCGCTTCCACGGGACGGAGAATCCCTGGAATATTTAGACAAAATGTTCAGGCTCGGTGCACAGACGGCGGCAGCGGCCAATAATCTAGGTGTGTTGGGCGTCTCCCTGATTACTCCTCAGGCAGACGACCCTATTCTCCCGTCTCAGGACGGGAGTGATTATCCGGACCGCTGCATAGGTCAGATAAACAATCTGATCCATGGAGTGGCCACCGCAGCCGGGCGGGTGATGTCCTTAAGTAATATTAGTTTTACAGGATAAAGTTGACTTTCTGAAGAAGACATGTTTCTGTTCCCATTCATTTCAATGTTGAGTAACACATCTGATTATAAACTGATTTGCATCCTCATCATGTTTCCTTTATTCAGACTGAGGAACTGCAGTTTGTCAGAGATCAGCTGTTCTGCTCTGGCCTCAGCTCTGAAGTCCAACATCCATCTGAGAGATCTGAACCTGTGGGACAACGATCTGAAGGATTCAGAGAAGCTGCTGAGAGATCTTCTGGAGAGTCCAGACTGCAGACTGGAGACTCTCTGGTCAGTGAGGGGTCTCTGCTGGTTCAGCAGTATTGTATTAAACACAGGGAGGTGTTTCTCTCAGTGGGGAAACAGATCAGTGATGTTACCCACTGACTGCAGGCTCTTCCATTCTTCCATCAACTAGA